GGACGCGTCAAAACCAATCTCACCTGCGCTAGCCCAGCTAGGACGCGCCCTGAGCCGGCCAAGGCCGACTACATATTGAATCGCGCGTTTTGCGCAATTGGCAGATCCGAAACCAAGCTTGTCTAGGGCTGCAATGTTCGCGTTCCGATGTGTAAGTCAATGCGCAACTTGCGGGCAAGCCGCGGCCGCCTCTGTAATTTGTGTCCAAGTGTTAGTTCCAAGCCGGAGTCTATGGTTTTCAATAGTTCTGGTTCGTGTTTGAGAAGGTGCTGCGTGGGGGGATGTAGGGCCTGTGGGGAACACAACTCTACAAGTTGTGTTGTTTCGATTTTGTTGTATTGTTGTTTTTGTCCCCGCGCCTCGTGTGCTTCGCTGCGCGCTGTCTGCAGTGCGGCTTGCCGCGTTCTTCCTGCCTCGCGCAGCATGGAAATCTACTTCTCGCGCTCGGCCATAGCGCTGCCCTCGAACGCCCTCGAGCGCCAAGCGCTCTCGCTCTCTATCCCATGCTCCGGCGAGGCCGCGGCGTCGCCGCGCGGCTTCCGACTGTCGGATGGCGCTGCGCCTGGTAAGTATGCGCGGCGACGCGCTCTTCCATGTCCGCCCTCACCTCACGCCCCCCCCCTCTTCTTCTCGCCCCCCCCCCCCCCCCCCCCCCTGCGAGCGGGCGCGGCGAGGCGAGTCGCGCAGCGATTCTCTTCCTGAGCAAAGCGGCCCCCGCGAGATTCTCGCGCAACACTGGCAGTCGGGCTGCGTTCTTCGGACAAAGAAAACACTGCAAGGAAACGGTCCCTATTGCCGAGCGAACAGGCGAGGGCGCCGCTTCGCGGGGGCCCGATGCCCCGTCTGGCGCGCTAACAGTCATAACCGACCGTTTCTGTATGTTTTTTTTGTTTTGGTTCTCTCTCTCTCTCTCTCTCTCTCTCTCTTTCTCTCTCTCTCTCTCTCTCTCTCTCTCTCTCTCTATCTCCCTCTCTCTCTCTCTCTCTCTCCTCTTTTTTTCTCTCTCTCTCTCTCTCTATCTCTCTCTCTCTCTCTCATCTCTCTCCTCTCTCTCTCTCTCTCTCTCTCTCTCTCTCTCTCTCTCTCTCTCTCTCTCTCTCTCTCTCTCTCTCTCTCTCTCTCTCTCTCTCTCTCTCTCTCTCTCTCTCTCTCTCTCTCTCTCTCTCTCTCTCTCTCTCTCTCTCTCTCTCTCTCTCTCTCTCTCTCTATCTCTCTCTCTCTCTCTCTCTCTCTCTCTCTCTCTCTCTCTCTCTCTCTCTCTCTCTCTCTCTCTCTCTCTCTCTCTCTCTCTCTCTCTTTTCTTTCTCGCTTATGGAACAGCTGCGTTCACCTGAATAACCCAGCGGGTGGCCTCCAGCGTTTCGCGAGCGGCCGTTTCGCAGCGGCAACCTAAGATCAGCGCGGCAGCGCGGGCAAGAAGAAGACGACTCTTCGCGCGGTTCGCGCCTGTAACGCTCGTGCCAGGGCGACGCGAGACAGCTGGGCTGGGGCCGAACGCGCGCCGGCGCTCGCGGGCAACGAGCTCCGCGGCCGCCCCCGACGTCGCCCGCCCAAGCGCAACCGCGAACGACGGTCGAGGCGCGCGTCCGCGCGGCGCGCGATGCAGGGCCAGCCCCATCCGAGGCACGTGCGAGACGCCGGAATCGGTAGAAACTGCGACGCAACAGGGGGGGGCGGGGGCCGCCTCGACCGGCGCGAAGACGGGAACCGTTTAGACAGCTACAACAGAGGTAACCGCCCCCGACACAGACGGCGCATCCGCAGGGGGCCAACGCCGCCTCTCGAGACGCGCCGCCGGTTCCGCAGGCCCCCTCCCCCCCCTCCTCCCCGCCCCGCCCCTTCCCCGCCCCTCCCCCCTCCTAAATGGGAGTCGCCTGCCCCCCCCCCACCCTCCTCCTTGCCTGATCCGCGCCCCCGTCGCCCCCCCCCGCCCCGCTCCAACCTCGTTCCTCCTTCCACTCGCGTTTTTGTTTGAGATCTGTCTGGGCGAACGGTCAACGAAAACAACGTGCAATATTGAATTGCGAACACGCAATTTCTGCCACTCGAACACAAGTTTCGCGACTGAGCCAGCAGGGGCGCCGAGGGCCGCGCGAGTAAAACGAGCTACGCCACGTTGCGCTAAGCCACGCGCCTAAGCGCGCGGGCGAGACAGGAAAACCACAAGTCCACCAATCACCGGGAATCACGCGTAATGTAACGCACGGGCATCAAACGAACGCGCCCCCAAAACCTCAATTCTACAAACGCAATGAAGGATCCAGACATTTGAGTGCGGGGACCCCCGGACCGGGGCGCGGCGGGGCTTCTCGAGATTCAAGCGCCGATTCAATGGAGGTGGCGGCGAACATGGGTCGAACGCGAGCAGTCATCTGATTCCTCGCGCCCGACAGCGCCACCGCGCAGGCGCCTCAGAAAAACTCGCGCCCGCGACGACAACGTGATCCGCGGGCGCCCGGTGCGAGAATCTCTCCCGGCGCACTTCAGCAGCCCCAGGATAAGGAGGAGTTCAAAGCGAACGCGGGGTGAATAATAATTCAGAAGCCCGAAATTCTGAACACTGAATTCCAGTGAGACATGGTACTCAGCTCGCTTTGGATATGTTGACCCGACAGTTCTCGACGCTGCGCTTCGCGGCGAGCTTCCCACGGTTTGAATGGCTGCGTCGCAGCCACTTCCACATCGCGGAACACGGCGCAAATATTGGCTGTGGCCTCCTGTTCCACCATCTGAATACTTGGCGACGCTTCCTTGGCCTCGGCGATCACGCGTGCAGACGGGGCCCCCGCTGTCGTGCTCCCGCCGTGGAGTCATCGATTCGCCTCGGGCTCTATGCAGCAAAACTGCACTCTGGTCCGCAGCGTGCTTATACGCTTCGATTGCGGCCCCCCTTACGGCGGCCGCCTGGCCCCCGACGCAAATTCCGCGCTGCGCGCTGCTGCGGCCTTGGATTCAGCTGCCAGCTGATCCAGCGTCGCCTCGCGGCTTCGACTGGCCCCGCCGGACAGCCGAAGCAGCCTTTCCAGCCGAAGCCTCAGCGGCGCCTCGCGCCTGTCTCTCTGCCGCCCCAATTAATTCGAGTCGGCGCGCCATGTCTTTCATCCGGCCCGTTCGGTTCTATCAACCATTGCTCAACCATTGCAAGACGCAAGCGTTCCTCGGAGCGTTCAAAGGCGAGCGGCAGCCCGGCGGTCTCCTCGATTTGTAGCCTCGCCGCCGCCCTCTAGTGAAGATCCGCAGTCCTGACCTGCCCCTGCACGTGCGCCATTTCTCTTTCTCGACCCACCACCGAGATGGCGTCCCCCCCCCATTCTCGGCGGCGGCGGGCCGCGCAATTATGCGCGCTGGGAACGAGACAGCCAGGGCTAAGAACTGCAGATACATTCGGGGCAGTTCGCTGGGCGCGCCGAGCAAGCGGGCTTTTCGCATGTGCCAGGCATTTCTAAACGTATGACCCCTTTCGTCAAAACGTTCTTCTGGCACGCGGCAGCTTGAACCGCTCGAGCGAGCCGCGCGTGCCGATCGCGATGGCGTTCCCGATGTCGCTGGCGCCCCCCCCCGCCTTGCGGGCGCCCCAGATCGGGCCCTCGGCGAACGGGTCCTCGACGTGGAGGTCCTGGTAGAACGCGCCATCAAACGCCCCCAGCGACTCGCCCCGGTTCCCTCAGGCGAAAAGGGGCGTTATGCGATTTGCGTCTCGCTCTACAGCCATCCCCAGACCAGCGTCGCCCGACCCTTCCAGGGGGCTCGCCGCGCTCGATCGCTTGACCGCTGGCGACTTTGACAAAGTCATGCCGTCTCGGGGTTGTTTCACCGTCGGTATCCATTGTCAAGTGCAGGGGTATTCGGCAACGTCGAGTTCCGAACTGGACAGGGTCCCGCGGTCCTGACGAAGTTGCTCGACTGAACCATCGGTGTGCGATCCCCGTCGTGCATCTCGACATTAGCATTGGGGGACGGGTCAGATACGTCGCCGTCCGAATGTACATCGTTGAAAAGCATGTCTGTGCCTACGCTCGGATAGCATCCCGGCCAAGGCGCATCCTGCCGAAAAGGGAAAGCTGTCGGCGCTAGACGCGGAGCCAGGAATGTCCACGCGCGCTCACATTTTGCGATGAGCGATACGTCAGGTCCCTGACATCGTCAAGAAAACAAAAAAAACATGCTTGCCGCTTCTTGAAAGCCACGTGGGTGCTTCCGTGTACCAAAAATACCATCATCAGCGTCCGCTTCTGAAAAGGTGTCTCCTGGCATCGTGATGAACTTTCGGTTGGTAACCAATAGTTTGCCTATCTCTCGTTATGCTAGGCAAACGTGCATTGGTAACGGAAGGTTGTTCTGATTGTTGACATCATTCAGCTAGTTGCTCACGGGAAGCTTACATCCCACTATGACCTGGTGAGTACATGGCTAAACCAGTCCGTTAAGCGGAAGTACTCTAAGCAAGGTGTGCTGTCCCCGTTGAGCAGGGACCGACCGTCCCGGCATTCCTTTAGTCCCACCACGAAATGTTGCTAGAACCCAAAAATGTTCTAACAAAACAATGTTCTTAGAGCCTAGTCCCGATGTGCGAAAACAATACAATCCCGACCAGCAATGTTCTAAGAACATTTCCTGAAAAAAAAACCACCAAGGGTTATTAGAACATTGTTTGGTAGGGCTATAGGCGAGCCAGGACGCTTCGCCACTGCTTGAATCCGTATGCGCGTGCGCATGGCGGGCCCGCCCGGCCGGCCCGCGCGCGCGTTTCTGCTTGAGTAGCTCTATACGCAGCTGCGGAGGCAGTCCCTGCGCATGATCCAGGCCTTACCAGCTCGCTGCAAGGACAAGAGCTGACCGCTGCAAAAATACGCGAAGGGACTGCTAGTGATGACTCTGGGATGCCTCCTGGGGGAGGGGGGGGTCGTGGCGTGCGCGGAACACGAATGCGGGCGGAGCAAGCAGGACCTCTCGGCCCAAGCCGCGTGCCGAAGCGCGCGAGCGCATAGAGGGCGGCCGTCCTCTGCTCACCGTCCTTTTTCAGCTCTCCGCACCTCCCGCGGCGCTGCGGCGGCGGGGCGGGGGGGTGAGGATGGGGGCGGGAAAATGGGGAAGAGGGGGCGGAAGGGCCAGAGAGAAAAGGACGAGTAGGGGGAGGCGGAGGAGGAGGAGGAGAAGGAGGAGGAGAAGGAGGAGGAGGAGGAGGGGGAAACGGTGAAGAGGGGCGGAATCGAGGGGAGCGGGGAAGAGGAATAGGGCTGGAGGAAGGATAAGGGAAAAAGGGGGAGGGCTGGAGGGAAGGAAGGAACACGAGGAGTCGGAGGAGGAGGAGGAGGCAGGAGGAGCAAAAGGAAGAGGAAGACGAGGACGAGGAAAAACAGTGCACAGGCAATTCATGTCAACGATGTTGCGGTGTTGCAATCAACCATCACCCCAAGCTCTCTCATAATAGGACCCTACAAGCAATTAGTGTCGTTGCGGGGCAGGCCCCATTGGAAGACAACTGTCTGAGAATTCTTAGTCGTGCCACGCTGTAATGCCTGGGACCTCAACCTCGCTAATGAACGTGATGGTTGCGTCCTGTCAACCCTAACCGTGTCATAACACCGTTCCTGGGACTTCGACACCACGAAACAACATGACTGTTGCGCCCTCACAATCAGAAGAATTGCCACAACACGATCCCTGGGATTTCGACTGTGCGAATCCGTGAAACGATGACAAACTTTCGAAACGAATGTGCGCGGCGCTACGGCGCGAGCCACCGTTTTGCTTTCGAGACGAATTCGCGCGGCACTAAGGCGGGAACAAAGTTTCATTAAAAAGCAGGCGCCTTCTTTCAAAACGCTGAAAAATTGTAATCAAATATGCGCGGCGCTGATGTGAGAACCACATGATGAACACCGCGGACAATAATAATATAATCATATGTTGAAAACGGCCCACCCTCCATCCGTGAAACTGTTGCACAATTCACGCTTCAAGATCAGAAATGGGGAGGAAGTGTCAGGCGATACGCCCGGCCCGCCATACTGACCCGGCTGGGGTTGGTTTGTGCGCGTAAGTGGCTGAGCAATAGAAGGCGAACATGAAACGAATCGGAACCGTTTGACTCCTCGAAACGAACACGGGCAGCTCTGATCAACGGTTAATGTCAAGAGGGAGGAGGAGGAGGAGGAGGAGGAGGAGGAGGAGGAGGAGGAGGAGGAGGAGGAGGAGTGGAAGAGAGGGAGGAAGCGAGGGGGGGGCTCAAGACGTTGAAGGCTGAAGGCGTGGCGAAGCCCCCGCGGGGGGCGCAGGTCCCAGAAGGAGGAGGAGGAGGAGGAAAGGACGAGGAAGAGGAGGTAGGGATGAAGAGAAGGAGGAGGGTGAGAAAGGAGAAGGGAGGAGGGCGGACGAGGAAGGTGGGAGAGGCGATGGGGAAGTGGAGGATCAGGAAGGAGGAAGGGGAGAGGAGGGAGGGAGTAAGCAGAAGGCGGAAGAGGGAGGGAGGGAGAGGGGGAGGGAAGAGAAGGACGAGGAGGAACCCTTTGGAACTTTTTGCTCTAGGACGCTCGCTCTGCCGCAACGCGCACTGGTGCTGAGCACGGCACTGAAATCAACTCGACGCCTCCTCACCCTCCGGGACCCGATGCGGCAAACGCACCGCGCCAGACAGGAGGGCGAGGGGCGGGACGCTGGCAGGCCGTCGTGGTGGACGCGCCCCCGCAGCTCAATGAAGGACGAGCGCAGCAGACGCGACGTGCACTGTTGCCGACGATCAGAAGAGTCTGAATCCCCCCCCCCCGAGCCACCCAAGGCCTGAGCTGCTGAGACCCCCACCCCCCTGGCCGCGGAGAGCAATCTCTGGACCTTCGCCTGCGTAATCACGAATCTCCTGGCAATCCGACGCAGCTGATCCCGCTCTTGCCTGTCATAGCAAGCTCGGGTGACCTCGGGAAGTGCGACAGGAGGCTCGACGGTGGCCCTCCCTCCCGTGGGCTCCAGCTCACACCCGCACCCCCTCCCCGACCTCACCTTCCAGATGACGCTGATCTCTGGAACCCATAGCCATTTTGATGACTCTGGGGGGGCCTCCCGTCGAGGAAGCATGCCACCGTCAAATCGCCTGCCCAGTGCCTGCGTAGGGTACGAGGGTCCACCGTGGCGTACATCCCGCACTGGGAGCACATGTGCAGAAACCATCTCTCTACGTGCGTTAGAGAGTGGGTGGGGTGGACCTCGTGCTTCAAACCAGACACAAGGAAAAGCCCAAGGGCCCCACGTGTCTCGCATCCTGTGGGGCCCGCGCACTCTGCAGGCGCAAACCGAAAGAACTCGTACTGGGAGCAATGCACTCGCACTGACAGCGTCTCTACTTGCTGCCTACCTGCTCGAGCCGATGGGGTGATGAGGCTACTGCTTGCTGCTGCTCTGGCAATCTCTTGGTCACAGGCGCCCGCGACGCCCGCTCTCCTGTCGCGCTCGCGCGCCTGCGCACCATGTGCGCAATCGCATCGATCCGACAAGTCCCGATAATCTCGAACCTCGATTCCGAGAAAGTCGCCCGCCCCTGAGCCTATCCCCGCCAACGCACGCTGCCTCTGAGGGCGAGGAGGCCCCGCCGGCCGAGCAGAGGGCACCAGCCGAAGTCCGCGAGCTTGGCCACCGCGCCCCTGCCGCTGTCGGTGCCGCCAACCTGCGGGCGTCGCTGCGGGCCCCCGCGGGGGCTCGCATTCGGGGCGCGTCGTCGTCGTCGCCGCCGCCCCCGCGGGCCTCGTCGTCGACGTCGCCACCGCCGCCGCCGCCGCCACCGCCGCCACCGCCGCGGTCGAGAGATCGGCGGTCGGGGCGTTCGGCCACGCCTGGCCCTCTCTGGGCCTCCATGGGGCCTCCAGGGGGCCCAACTCTGGAGGCCCGTGCGTGGCTCCGCGAGCGCGACAACGAGAGCGCGCGGGGGGGGGGAGGGTGCATCTCCTGCTCCCTCCTTGCTCTTCTCGCTCCAGCCCCAGTGGGGGGCAACGTCGGGAGGAGGATATGAGCTCAGGAGGGGGGGGAAAGGGGGGAATATCGACCTGGAGTCGGCGATGCATCGCCGATAGATCGTCGATAGGCTCCCGATGACGGCTCCCGTCTGGGCGGATATGGGGCCCCCATCGGCGATCAATGGGCGATTTGGGCTCGATGCATCCCCATGAGCCTATTCCCATCTGACGTTGCCCCAGACGCCTTCGGCGCCTGGTTGCCCTCGGCTCATAATTCGGGCCTCTGGTGGCCGTTCAAGACGATCCATGCATTCTCGGACGGCCCTCGGCGAGGTGTATCCGCAGGAAGGCATCCCGAGCCTCGAGAACGGCCCAGCACCGACGGTAAACAAAAACTGAATATCGAAACAAAACGTTGCCCCTGACCCGTCCTCGTCCCTGCTCTAATCGACGCCCACCATATCCTCCCCGCTTCCCCTTCCGCCGTCGTCGTCGTCGGCGCCGCCTCCGCGCGTGCGGCAGCGCGCGCGGGGGACAGGGGAAGGGGAGGGAAAAGGGGAACAGGGGGAGAAGAAGGAGGAAGAGGTCAAGAAGGAGGGCTTGCGGTAATTCTTCTTGGTCGCCTGAACCCCGTTCATGGGTCAAGTTTCCTGGAGCCACCATCCTGCAGGGCACGGTGGTCTGATGGTGCGAATGGCCTGGAACCATCGCGATCCAGACCGCACTGGACCAGCAACCTGCAAGGGTCACAGGAAGGCCAGAAGTCACCAAAAGGGCCCCCCCAGGGCGGTCAGATGCCCAAGTTGGAACCTGCCAGGGCAGCAGGAAGGCCTCCAGAGAGTCACAAAGTACCCCAAAGCGGTCACATCCCACAAGGGAATCTACAGCGTAGCAATTCATCGCTGAGAGAATGTCACCCAATGGTATTTATGACTTCGCAAACCAAAGAACGCGGTCACGCTGGATGTTGTGAAGTGGGACTCGTGCAGCTGGACCTACACGGAAAGAGCACACAGACTACCCATTGATCGAGTATGGGCGCGAAACACGCGCCCGAATCACACAGGAACGGCAATGTAGGTGTAACAGAAAGAGCGGGTTACAGCCAGACTAACCCTTTGGGAGGAAGAGGAGGAGAAGGAGGAGGACGAGGACGAGGAGGTCCATTGTGAACTCAAGATGCGTTAGCGATGGCGCAATACCCCACAACATTCCGTGTTGTTTCCACGTTCTTCGCCATGCCATCATCAAAAGAGACGAATCGTGGTAAACGGTGTGAAGTGAAAATGTGCAAGATCGCCAGTCTTGCCGCCCGGCTGTCCTGGGGGCGCATGCCTCGCGAAGGGGGCCAATGGCCAAAATCTAAGGATGAAACAAAAACAACAGTGCCTTTGGGCAACATCCAGAAACAACAAACACGCGTGGTAATCGGACAGACAGGGGAAGGTGCACGACCGCCGGCCTTGCCGCCGGCGTGCGTCCTTGAGCAAACTCCCCCGCGAAGGGCGTACGCGCGCAGATTCCACGGACGCGCGGAAACAAGCAGTGCCGCCAGGGAGCGACGAAACATGGTAACCAGAGAGACGTCAGTGTGCAGGACCGCTGGCCTTGTCGCCTGGATGTGTCCTTGAGGCAACTTCCTCGCGACGGGGGCAAGCACACGGAATTTGTGGATGCGCGACTACGAATGCCGGCGCTGCCGCTGGCCAGCGTCCCATAGAAAAATGGCAACCGAAGAGACGTGGATGCGTGCAGGAACGCCGGCCTTGCCGCCAGGCTGCTTCCTTGAAGCGACTTCCTGGCGACGGGGGCAACCGCTCACGATTTCGATGCCCGAAAACCGACACGTGCAAGACTACCAATATTGCCGCCCGATTGTGTCGTTGAGGCAACTGCCCCTCGACGTTGAGTGCAGAATCTGCGGCTGAACGAAAGTCCGCACTGCCGCCGAGCATTGCTAAAAAGGAGACGAAACGTGGTAACCAGAGAGAGAGAGAGAGAAAGACAGACAGAGAAAGAGAGAAAGACAACAATAAATGGAATAGCACGTAATATTGTTCAGTACCGCAGGCCTGGTGGCCGCCGGCGTGCGTCCTTGAGGCAACTGCCTCACGACGAGGTTGAGCACGCAGAATATGAAGAATCACGAACGCCAGCATTGCGGCCAGGCAGCGAAGAAACGTAGTGGAGGGGCGTGAAAATGTGCAGGGCCGCCGGCCTTGTCGCCAGCCTGCGTCCTTGATGCAACTTCCTCGCGACGCGGATGAACGCACAGAAATTGTGGACGCACGGATATCGGCACTGCCAGTGGCCAGCGGCCAACATGAGACGAACCATAGACGTGAGAGCGTGCAAGACCGCTGGTCTTGCCGCCCAGTTGCGTCTTTGAGGCAACTGCCTCGCGGCGGGGGCAATCGCGCATTTCCTGTGGATGCGTGAAAGCAGGCGCTGCAACTGGCCAGCGTCCAAAATGAGACGAAACGCGGTGCATGGAAAAGCGCGAGAACGTGCAGGACCGCCTGCCTTGCCTCCGGGCTGTTGCTTGAGGCAACGACGCAGGCAACCGCGCACAAGTTGTGAATCCACGACAGCTGGCACTGCCGCCAGGCAGCGTCCAAAAACAAACACGACCCGCGGTAGCCGGGGCGACCTCCAAGTGTGCAGGACAAACGGCCTTGACGCTGGGCAGCGTATTTGCAGCAACTTTCTCGCGACGGAGGCATTCGCGCATGATGCGGATGCGCGAAAACCGGGCATGACCGCCAGGCAAAATCAGAGCGACGTGAGAGCGTGCAAGACCGACGGCCTTGCCACCAGACTGTCTCCTTGAGATAGCTGCCTCGCGACGTGGGTAACCATGGCTGCGTCCACACATCGAAGCGAGACCTCGATGTGCTCCCGGTGAAGACCTAGATGTGAAGACCTCGACGTAAAGACCTCGAGGTAATGAGGTGATCCTAGACTTGAGGACTTCGCGTTGAAGTCTTCAAGGTGGATACCCGAAGGTGAGGAACTCGATGTGAAGACATCGAGTGAACACCTCGACGTGAATGCCTCGAGGCGAATACCTCGAAGTGAACGAACTTGAAATGAACGCCTCGAAGTCAACACATCGAGGTGAAGACATCGAGCGAGGCGACGACCTCGAAGTGCGCGGGACCTCTCGCATTACCGCCGGGCTGTCCCTGAGGTGAGTATTTCGCGAGCTGGTGTCGCCTTGGCTTCCCAACACCTGTGGTGATTGTGCAGGTGGCCGTCGGGCGTGCGCCATGCTCACACCCTTACCAACGTCCCCTGAGTCCTGCACAAAAGCTCCCCCAGGGGCTGCGGAAGCCATCGGCATGGCGGGGGAGGAGAAGGAGGAGATGGAGAGGCCAGAGGAGGAGGAGGAGGAGGAGGAGGAGGAGGAGGAGGAGGAGGAGGTACACAACTGCACGTGCGAGCGCGCCGATGAAGGAACTGGAAAAATGGTGATTCTGCACAAATCGACGACATTAAAGAGGGAAGGGCACGGGAACGGAACAAAGGCAAAACGGGCGAGCCAACAGGAAGGCAGAATTCGAAAAACGTACATAGCCGAGTTGGGCGAACTACAAGCTGCACCAACAAGTGAAACAGCAGCCGAAAAGAAGGTTCGGCGCCGAAGGGCGGCGGAGGAGCTACAGCGACAACTCCTGCATGAGGCAGAAGGGGGTAAGTCGCTGCAAGATCTTCTCTTGCGCAGCGCAGGCCGAAGAGGGAAGTGCAGGTCCAGGTCCGAGCCGTCGTCGGACGCAGGAAAACGAAGGCTGCACCTGACACCTTGCTCGCAAAGCGCACGCTAGAGATCACCCAGACAAAGGTTCTCCCAGGAATCCGCCGAAACATCCTGGGTGTCGCTGGCAGCCCGCCTGCGCGCGCAGCCACCAGCACAGGGGGGTGGGTGCTTAGGACGAGGAGGAGGAGGAGAAGGAGGAGGAGGAAGAGGAGGCGAGGCCGCAGCTCGGCGGCGTGCGCAAATCCCATTCATTCCGCTCCGCCCCTCGACCCCCCCACGGCAAGGTGGGGAGCAACCAACACGCCCAGCCCCCCCCCCCCACCCCCCACCCACCCCCCCCCACATCACAGAGCCAAGCCGGCAGGAGGAGGAGGCCAAGTGGAAACTACAGACGACTAGAATGATGGCCGTCACGAGGACAATCACGATGGTGCTCAGCTCCAGGAGGTACGCAAACACCAGCAGGACGAAACTCGCACACACTGCGCTGCGAAGCCCACGAAACCACAAGCACATCCACTACGGTGCACAGCGCGATGATGGGACTCGCCCAATCCAGGTTAACAATGCACAGCACCTCCAGCATCAGGGTGACGTTCTACTCCAGGCTGCGGAAGACGAGGAGGCGCAGTTCGGGAAGACGACGAAAGGGGAGTACGTACGGTACGCCCCCTCTCCTCCATCTTACCTCCTCCTCCTCCCTCGTGCATCTTGCATGATCCCCCCACCCCTCCTCCTCATTCCCTCCCATCGCCCTTCATCCCTCTCCTTCCACCTTCTCCCTCCCTCCTCTCGCCTGCCTCCTCCTTCCCCCTCTTCTGCCTGTTGATTCGAATTCGGCCCACCTTTCTGTGTATTGGCACACCGCCCTACCGTCAACCTACGCCTTTGGATCGCAAAAGTACAGGCGGAACTGTCGCTACGGACCAATAAGAATGACTCGCTTGACGGTGTGTATATGTATATCTATATATATACATAGATGTGATGGCCAGGCGTCGACTGCCACGTGACGGCCACACTTCAAAATATAGATACCCCCTCCCCCTCAAAGACGAATCGCATGCGAACACCTCACGACGGCGAGGTCGTCTCACAACTGATCCAGCAGACCATGAACAAAGTCAGAGGCCGATAACTCATCGCCCCATCAGCCTCACGTCAGATTCCCTTGCCCTTGCCCATCCCCTGTGTTGCCACGCCTGGAGGCCCATTCGCGATCAGGATCAACGCAAGGCAGCAAACCGAAGAGAGATAGAGAGGCCTGAGCCTATCCCTTCCCAACGCTGCCCCTGACCTTTTTGACGCCTGGTGATTTTCGGCTGATAACTCGTGCCTCAGGCGGCCGTTCGGAACGACCTGGGACCCTCCTGGAACGCTTCTGGCGAGGGGCAGCCGCTGAAGGCACCCCACAGCTGTGACACCGACTGGGACCGACGCAAACGCCCGAAAACCTTGAACCTTTTAACGTGACCCTGACATCCTCGCGCTTCTCCCCCCCTTAGTTCTGGGCAAACGGGTCTTTCGCCATGGGGTCGCAAACAGACATGCAATCGTTCATCCTGTGGCTCGTGGCGCGTGGCCTCTCTCACGGGCCAACGATGCCAAATGCAACGCGTGCTGCCCGCATCCAACACGATCTGGCACGAAGGATTGAACGAACTATTGCGTACAATTTTGGGACCCCCTTTGCAAACGGACCCATCTGCCCGAATCTTACTCCTCCGGCCGCCCCCCGCGGGCCATGAGGATGTTCTCAGGCTTCAGGTCTCTGTGGACGATCCCCTTCCTTGGGGTCGGCTGGCGGCACGCAGAGACTCAGCTCCTCACCATTCTTCCACTCAAGCTCTCCCCTGCTCTTGCTTCTCCTCCTCCTCCTCCTCCTGCTCCCTCCGTCCCTCCCACCCTCCCCTGCTTCCCTACGCCTCCATCCGCCTCCTCCTCCTCCTCGTCCACCTCCACCTCAACCTCCACCGTCTCCATATCCTCCTCCTGCTCCGCCTCATGTTCCGCCTCCTCTGCTTCTTCTTATTATCAATAGTATTCCCTTCTGATGAGCATTAAAACATGATGTTCCGTCGTCCTCTTCAGACTGTTGTCAATCATCCTTATGCTGTTCGTTGTATGCTTAGTATGCGTAGTTGCAGACTTCGTCGTATGAGTAGTATGAGTTTGCATGCAAGTATGTGTACATATATGTATGTCATCAATCATATTAAATGTTACAGGCATTCTTATGAAATTCGTAGATGTAGAGTGGTTGCTTGGTGTCCTTACTTGTCTTCACCATCCCGGGATCAGTGTCAACGTTTCGTCGCCGTGCCGCCCGTCGCCGTCCGTCACCGCCCGTCGCCACCTTCTTCTGTTGTCCGTTGCGTTGCTCTGCTTCATTTGACACTACTTTGCTTTATGCACTTTATCTTCCATTGCTATTATTTGCGTTGATGTGCTTCGAGATGCTTTACATCAATTACTACACGTCACTTTACACTACCTTACACTACTTTACTGTGGTGTACTTCCCTTTACTTTGCGTTGCGTTACGTTGATTTGCGTTATTTTATCTTACTGTACCTTGATTTCCGTTACTGTACTCTACCTCACTTTACTTGAATCGCCGTTCCTTTCTTCTACCTTACTATAGTGTTGTTTTGCTGCGTCCTGTTACTTTGTGTTTCTCTGCTTTGCCTGACGGAACGCGGTGTATATATGAATACATCAGGTCCCCAGACCGTGCTTGCACTTAGAGGTACTTACTCTGCTTCATCATCTCGGGACCAGGGGCGGCTTGCGCGGGAGGTGACGCCCGTCGCCGTCCGTCGCCGCCGCTCGTCTCGGGACAAAGGGCGGGCGTCGCCGCCCCTGCCGCCCGCCGCCACACCATCGCCGCACAGCCGCCGCCACCGCCGTCGCGCACAACACAGCTTGCACCACATAGATAGACAATAGTAGTCGTAGTCGTAGTAGTAGTAGTAGTAGTAGTAGTAGTAGCCGTAGTCGTAGTCGTAGTAGTAGTAGTAGTAGTAGTAGTAGTACTAGTAGTAGTAGTAGTAGTAGTAGTAGTAGTAGTAGTAGTAGTACTCGTACAAGCACTAGTACTAGTACTAGTACTAGTAGTAGTAGTAGTAGTACTAGTAGTAGTAGTAGTAGTAGTAGTAGTAGTAGTAGTAGTAGTAGTAGTAGTAGTAGTAGTAGTAGTAGTAGTAGTAGTAGTAAGAGTAGTCGTAGTGATAGTAGTAGTGATAGTAGTAGTGCAATAATAGTCGTCGTCGCCGTCGTAGTAGTAGTCGTAATAATAATGGTAGTAGTAGTAGTAGTAGTAGCTGTAGTAGTGGTAGTAGTACTAGTAGAAGCTACTTTTAGTAGTAGCAATCGTAGCACCAGTAGTGACAGCAGCCGTCGTAGTACGTTTACTGGTACGAGTAGTGCTTGTAGCAGCAGTTGTGATAGTAGGTGTAGTAGTGGTAGTAGTATTAGATATCGTAATAGTGTTAGTAGTAGCAGTAGTAGTAGCAGTAGTAGTAGTAGTAATAGTATAAGTAGTAGTAGTAGTAGTAGTAGTAGTAGTAGTAGTAGTAGTAGTAGTAGTAGTAGTAGTAGTAGTAGTAGTAGTAGTAGTAGTAGTAGTAGTAGTAGTAGTAGTAGTAGTAGTAGTAGTAGTAGTAGTAGTAGTAGTAGTAGTAGTAGTAGTAGTAGTAGTAGTAGTAGTAGTAGTAGTAGTAGTAGTAGTAGTAGTAGTAGTAGTAGTAGTAGTAGTAGTAGTAGTAGTAGTAGTAGTAGTAGTAGTAGTAGTAGTAGTAGTAGTAGTAGTAGTAGTAGTAGTAGTAGTAGTAGTAGTAGTAGTTGTGGTGGTGGTAGTAGTTGTAGCAGTGGTAGTAGTAGTGGTGGTAGTAGCAGTAGTCGTGGTAGTAAGAGCACCTATACGACCACCCTGCGGGTGATAAGGAGGTTGTGGGGGGGTGGCGGGAGGGGGGTGGCTCATGACGACAACTGTGTTGAACGTGGTGATGATCGGCCATGATGGTGTGGATGACGTGGCGGATTCTTGTTTGGTCCTTCGCTTGGGCGCCTTGTGTCGTCGGGACAATGATGAGCAACCATGATGAGCAACCATGATGAGCAACCATGATGAGCAACCAGCGGGCAACCGACGGGACAATGCGGGCCACCGCTTGGCAACACCGGGGGGGGGGAAACATTTGTGTTGGCGGACCCCTAGCGACAGCAGAATGAATTCCTCTCGCTGGCCCACGCAGCTTCGCCTCGCCCGCACGCACGGCACGAGCACGAACTCGAAACTCGATTTCCCGGTGGGGGGAATCCGTTACACTGCGATCTCATCCCCCAACTTCCGACTTGCAGTAGTATTAATAGCGACACTACTTGCAGTAGTACAGGTAGGGATACTACTACGGGTCGTAGTCGTAGTAGTGATATGTAATAATATTCGGAGTAGCAACAATCGTAGTAGTACCAACAGTACGATATGTAATAATAGTAGTAACACAAATAAAGTTAGTGGTCGTAATATTACTAGTAGTGATAGTATCGGTATGCACAGTAGTATTAATAACAATAACAGTAGTAGTACTGGTAGTAGTAACAGTAGTAGTAGTAATCGTATGATTATGATTCGCAGTAATAGTAGTAGTAGTAGTAGTGGTAATAGTAGTAGTAGTAGGAGTAGCTGCCGTAGAAGTAGTAGTAGTAGTAGTAGAAGTAGTAGTAGTAGTAGTAGAAGTAGTAGTAGTGGTGGAAGTAGTGGTAGTAGTAGTAGTAGCAGCAGCAGTAGTAGTAGTAGTAGTAGTAGTAGAGGTAGTAGTAGTGGTAGTAGCCGTAGTAATAGTACTAGTCGTAGTAGTAGTGGTAGTGGCGGTAGTACTGGTATTCGTAGTGGGACTAATAGATGTGACAGCAGAAGTCATTGTGATAGAAGCAATAGTACGACTACTAGGTGTGACGAATCATAGTGGTAGTAAAGGTGGGATGTGTCGTGGGACAACAAATTTTACTAGTGGCAATGGTATTAACAGTGATAGTTGTAGTCGTATTAGTCGTAGATATATCCTAACAAAAGTCGTAGTAGTGGTCGTAGTCGTAGTAGTGGTTGTTAGTAGTGATGGTGACAGCCGTCGTCGTATTAGTACTAGTAAGAGTAGTAGCCGTAGCATTGGTAGAATTAGCGGTGGTAAAACTGGTAATAGTGGTAATCGTGGTGGTATGTCGGCGAAATAACCATAGTAGTAGTAGTAGTAGGAGTGGTAATATGAGCAGTCGTAGAAATAGTCGTAGTAGTAGTAGTAGTAGTAGTAGTAGTCGTAGTAGTAGTAGTGGTAGCAGTAGCAATAGTAATAGCCGTAGTAGTAGTAGTAGTAGTAGTAGCAATCATCGTGTAGTACGGTTGATAACACTAATGGTACTAGTGGTTGTAGCCGTAGTAGTAGTAAATATAATAGTAATAGTCGTTGTTGCCGTAGTAGTAGTAGTAGTAGTAGTAGTAATAGTAAAAGTATTAGTAAAGGCCGTAGTCGTAGCAGTCGTAATCGAAATAATACAGATAAAAGAGTAGACGTAGTCGTCGTGGCAATGGTAAGACTAGTAGCAATAGGAGTAGTAGTACTAGTAGTCGTAATTCTGGTAGTAATAATAGTAGTAGTCGTAGTAGTAGTGATAATGGTAGTAGTAGTAGTAGTACTCGTACTAATCGCAATCGTAATAACAGTAATTGTACTAGTTCGAACCGAAATAATCGTTCTAGTAGTACTAGTAGTAAGATCAGCAGTAGTAGTGGTAGTAGTAGCAGTCGTAGTGGTAGTAGTAGTATAGTAGTTGTAGTAGTAGTAGTAGTAGTAATAGGTAGTAGCAGTAATATTAAAAAGTAGCCGTAGTAGTAAACTAATACGGGTCGTAATAGTAGTAGTAGTAGTAGTAGTAGTAGTAGTAGTAGTAGTAGTAGTAGTAGTAATGGTAATAGTAGTACTCGTAGTAGTAGTAGTAGCAGTAGTAGTAAAAGTAGTAGTAGTAGTAGCTGGTGTTGCAGCAGTACCAGTAGTACTAGTAATCGTGGTAGTAACCAAAGTAGTAATAGTAGTAGTAGTAGTAGAAGTAGTAGTAGTAGTAGTAGTACTGGTAGTACTAGTGGTACTCGTAGTAGTACCAGTAGTAGTAGTAGTAGTAGTAGTAGTGGTAGGAGTAGTGGTAGTAGAAGTAGTAGTAGTAGTAGTGGTGGTAGGAGTGGTAGTAGTCGTAGTAGAAGTAGTAGTAGTAGTAGTAGCCGTAGCAGTAGTAGTAGTAGAAGGTGGTAGTAGTACTAGTGGTAGTAGTAGTAGTAGTAGTAGTAGTGGTAGTAGTAGTAGTCGTAGTAGTAGTGGTAGTAGTGGAAGTAGTAATAGTGGTAGTAGTAATAGTAGCAGTGGTAGTAGTAGTAGTAGTAGCAGTAGTAGTACTAGTAGTAGTACTAGTAGTACTAGTAGGTAGTAATAATCGTAGTAGTACTAGTAGTAATGGTAGTAGTAGTGGTAGTTGCAATAGTAGTAGTAGTAATAGTAGTCGTCGTAGTCGAAGTAGTAGTAGTAGTAGTAGCAACAGTAGTAGTAGTAGTAGTAGTAACAGTAGTAGTAGTAGTAGTAGTTGTTGCTGTTGTTGTGATCGTAGTAGTAGTAGTAGTAGTGGTAGTAGTAGTAGTAGTAATAGAAGTAGTAGTAGTAGTCGTAGTAGTAATAGTGGTAGTGGTAGTGGTAGTGGTACTAGTAGCAGTAGTAGTAATAGTAGTAGTAGTAGTAGTAGTAG